GCATATGGAAAAATTTCCTGAAAAATATTCTGGTTTCAAATATGTGTTCAGAAGGAGGTGTTCATATTTGAAAATAAAAGCACGTACTTTTTTAATGTATGTGGAGTAGGGATAAAAATTAAAAAAGTTTTTAAAATAATTCTTTAACGATTCTGTCTTAAATAATTAGAAAAAAAAGAAATTAAATTCATTTAAAATCTTCAGAGATAACTGTTGGTTTATGATAAAAACGATGGACATAATTTGCATCTATATTTTAATGAATAGTATAATTATTAATTTATATTAACATATTTGATCACTTTGCCAAATAAAAACGCAAAGTCGATATCTTTCTTTAATCAATTAAATTAGATTTAAATTCAACTAGTTTTGTTTTAACTATCAATGAGATGTAAAAAAGTATCTATAATTTGTAAATTGTTTTTTTTTTAACTTTATACCTTAATCTAATTACTTCAATTATTAATTTAAATCTAAATATATATACATTTATATTTTAAATACTGTGACTAAGATTATATTATTAATAATATTAAACTATTAACATAATAAGTAACTCTGTTTTTTCCTAAAAAAATTTGATTTTAATAATAACTTGATAGATAAATGATATATGATATATGACATTACGCACTCAAAGTGAAACCAGGTATACTACCTAGTAATTAGTATATATATATTGTATGAAGTTCGCATCCACCTATAAAAAGGGGTCTAAGGACACCACTGGATTATAGCACAACGGTGGTTGTAGATTGGTAGTCTAACAATGGTTAACAATAATATAAAACTCACAAAACTCACTAAATAATGGTTGTATTTGAATAAACCAGTTGTATGCGGGATCAAAAAAAAAAAAAATAAAAAATTGCTGAAAACAAAATAGACAGTGTTGGAGAAGAGAGTGAATTAAGAGTAAAGATGCAAAAAATATTAATAGACCATGAAAAAAAATTAACCAATTACAGGTAAAGATATATAATCTTGATGGATTATACATGTATTTATGTATTTCGAACACAATGTAAAATAAGTTTAATATATCTAGATTTTGAATCAAAAGCATACATTGCAAGCTACACTAGCTAAACGATTAGAAAATCATACAATATTTAAATTAAATTGTGAACAAATTGCTCTACTAATAAACAACTAAGAGACTTATTATAAAACTATTTTAAAACTACTGTTTGGAAATACACAAATTTAAAAACTAGTTTGTTTATGTTGAATTAAAATATAAGTATACAATTTCTTAAAATGTAATTTGTACAATTTAATATTTTTATATGAAATGTCTTAATATGTATGCATTTCTTGCAGCAGAATCTTTAATGTTATGGTTATAGTTTTCCACTGTTATTAATCGACATTTATGGAGAATCTGTTGACTGAGAAGCATGTCTTTCTTCAACATAACTTTCTGTTGTGGATGTAGTTGTATTTAAAGGCTCTAAATTATTTTAAACAAAAAAAAATAAATTTGATTTTTTCAGTTGAAATATTCAACAAATTAAGGTAATTTTTGAGCTTTATAAGTATACATAATTTGTATTTGGTAGTAACTGTGTGGTCAAATTGTTAGGACTAAATAGAAATGCGTGGACATTAATTTAACAGGAAATTCATTAAAAGTCTTACTTTGTGTTCAAAAGAAAACATATTCAGTTTAATACAGTATTTTTTTTTTCTATAAAGGAATTTCAATATGAAATTTTAACAAAAATCAATTTGATTAAAAGATTATGTGGAACAAATCTAGGTACTAATTCATACATATTGTTTCAATATAATATTGATTTTACTGTAATATTACATAAATATTGTTGAAAAAGCAATACTATTAATCTAGTTCCGATCAGTATGTATCCTAATACATTAGAAATAATTAATTTAATAAATTATAATAATTATAATTAATTACCTATATCTTCATCTGACTCTATTATTCTAGGCCTAGATCTCCGGTCCACTAATCTTTTACCCTAAAAACAAATTATAATATATAGAAATCGAAATTAAACAACATTCAATAAAATATCTTACTTTAGGATTGGCATCTCTAATTATTTCCATCGATTCATCCATTCCAATTGGTTGTTTTAAGAAAGTAAAGTTCTTTATTGTTAAAGGAGTCTTGGATTTTAACTCTATCTTCACTTCCTTTAATGATCTTGCTTTCTTATTGGTTGGGTCATAATAATACACGTCAAATTGTATTTTACCTTTAATTTTAGGTTTCCTCCTCACTAATTCCCTCGTCCATCCTAAAAATTACCACTTATAAATTTAAAACACTATTTGAGTTGGGTAGATTTAGTGCAGAGACATGAAATCTCAAAAGACCCGCTCTTACAATGTCCGTTCAGTACTAATATATAACCGGTAGTTAAGTTTGCCACTAAACATGAATTCACAGTCAGCGTAAGTTAACACTACAGCACATCACTATTAATGAAGAATCAGACAAACAGGAGGAATTGGATGAGATTGTGATGAAATGGTCAAATATCCCAAAAATAAGAAATATAAACGGCAAAATAATACACAAATACACTTACCATAATTGAATGGAAGCTTAAATTTTGGATCATTTATATTATCCGTATTTCTTCTACGGCCATATTTACCAGAACTACTTTGACTCCCGGTTGTAGATGACATGGTTAATTCTTCAAATATAAAACAATAAAAAAAAATTAAATTTGCATATGAAAAATATTTTTTTTCACAAAATGTTTGTTTTTGTAAAAAAAAAAAAAAAGTACGTGTCACTAATTAAAATATTTTTAATTACACTGTGAAATATGTAAAACTATAAGTTAATAACATTATGGTTTCAGGTTTGATAATTTATGAACTACAGTTTTAAAACTCAAAGTTAATCTTAAAATGACATAATGACTGAACAAGTTTAGCCAAAATCTAGATATGAAAAAATTAGTTTATAGCCCGTCAAAATATTAAGATTACATGCAGTTATAATTTGAGTAAGGAACCGCGATTAAATACATTTTATCTCAAGAACGAAAATATTAACTCTAATAAAGTGTACCATTATACATGTAAAATTTAATATTTTCAAAATATATTGATAAAATAAATAGAAAATGTGTTTTAGAAATCAATAAAATGGTAACTGTACAAACTTGAAATCATTCTAATCCTTAAATATTGTTATCAAAATTACGAAATTTAAATTCTAAGTAACAAAATGATTGCTATTTATTTATTTACCAGCGTATAGTGTATAGTTCTATTAACAATAATTATATAAGATAACAATGATATTAATTATTAATATACAGTAATAAAGAATATCTTTTAATTATGTGTACATAATAACGACATGAATAACGATAGTAACTCATTGAATTTCAATAAAACTTAATTACTGATGTTAATGGTTTTAAACTACTTAATGATGTTCATTATAACAGATGTTCATTATATGAAGTTTAATTTATTCTTAAAATTATGTACGCTGTTTCAAGTGAAAAATTGATGTTGTTTTTAGCGTGACAGAAATAGTTAATGTGGGTATATAATATGTATAAAATTGTATAATAAATATTTAATATATGTATACATTAAAATTTGAGAAATAGGAATCCTGGCGCAGACAGATATTTTCACTTTTACATACGTATTTCAGATCTCCTTTCATATTGTTCTTTGTTCATGTTATGTTCGTTATATTAAAAAAATTTTAATAAAATTAAAAAAATTAGTTTCTTATCTCCAATTACATACTTTAATTTAATAATATTTAACGATTTTGGATCTGGATTTTTAAATTTTCAAGATATTAGATGTCCTTGACATGAGTTCATGGACATAAAATTCTTTTTTAAAATAAGAGAAATATGTATTTATTATTTTCAAAGGTTTAAAAAAAAAATAGTTTTTTCGTGTTATTAAAATATTAAATACCTATCTATAATTTCATAAAAATTGATAGGTTTAGTGTCCCGCACAATCATACGTTATACAGAATAATTAATTTAGGTACGCTAGAAATAGGTTTCATTCCACTGTGCGATGGAACATATAATTATGGATCAAAATGACTAACTTACTCGTATGTGTTCCTTATAAAGCGTAGGCAGGTCCAGGAACGTAAAATACGTAACACAAAAATGTTTAATAAGATAACTATTGACTAATATTTTGTTCTTGACGTACGACTACGAGAGAGATTTCTGTAAGAACATGGGCTTAACACGACGCCAGGAACAAATAATGTACAATGAAAACCAAACCTGATCTGACCTAACCTGTGTAATGTTATGCTCACATAACATAATATTATAACTGTATAATTATTTATTATTTATATCATTACAAAAATGTAAGTAAGAGATTCAAATATGGCCGAGTACTTGGTATTTTACAAAAGGTAAATAATTTAATAAATCTAACGGACCGTTCGCTATTCGAGAGGGATTCAAACTTATCTACAAGCAAAATAATTTAAATATATGTCAAATATAATAGAACTGCATGGTATCTGCTGCGGCCCTTTGAGGACACTGCCGCCTCAGTCATACTATTGTATATTGTCTTATTCTCGCAATTCGATTATTAATTATTTTATATCGAGATCGACGCGAATGCCATCTGTTCCAAAAATGAATTTGAAAAAAAGAAATTGAAATCGAAAATCGAACCTCAGTTAAAAAATATAACCTATAATGGAATGAAAGAAAATAATAATGTTGTAAAAACTTTAAGAAAGTTATGTGATTTATGTAATATAACAACTACATATAAAAATTGGTCTAGACATTTAAGATCATCAAGACATCAAATAAATGATCCAAATGTAATTATTGAACATAGATTTCATGAAAAACAGAGAATTGTAAATAGTATCTCTATACCTAGAAAAGAGAGAACAGTTTATCTTCAAATTTTCTAAAGATACTATTGAGAATAAATCAAATAGAAATATTGATCGTTGCAGAACATATTTTGTTATTTATGGTAATTTTTAAAGCATGCTTCCTAAATTTGATTCATGAAAACCTTGTGAAACAGTTTCCTATACAAAAACATATCAAAACCATTAACCTGTTAGTTTTTGTTATAATGTTATGATAGACACTACGTCACAAAATGATGATTATAACAGTGATCTAATATTATACTCTGGCTATAATGCCAAATACGTTTGTTTTAAGAAAACAAAAGAAAAATCTCTTCATATTTAAAGAAAATATTTAGATGTAAAAGAAACCATGGAAATAACTGAAGAACAAGAAATTGAATTTACCAAAGAAAACAACTGTCATATATAGAAAACAATTTTGATGGATTTAGCACCAAGAAGAAACAGTGTTTGAACAGGTTTATCTCTGTGTAGTATTCTAAAGCAAATAATAAATGTATTGGAGAGAAATACAAAAAAGAACAAACATTTACGAAATATTTCTTAGATTTGGATGCAAATAATCTCTATGGATGGGGAATGTCTAAATATTTACCTTTAATAGGATTTAAATGGAATAATCCTGATTGGTTTGATATAGAAAACAATTATAAAAATGAAAGTTAACCAGGAAAATGGTTACATCTTTTAAGTAGATTTGAAATATCCTAAAGAACTCAATGATCTTTATTCAGATTATTCACTGGATTCCGAAAATGTATTTGATAATAAAGAATTATCAATAACTCTATATGATAAGAAAAAAATGTATTCTACATTATATTAATCTTAGGCTGTATTTAAATTTAGGTTTAAAAATAGGGAAAATACATAGGGTAATCAAATTTTATCTAAAACATTAGCTGAAACCATGTATAGTATTCAACAAAAATCTTCATGCAAAATTACTGTAATACAGTATTGTAATATTAATATATTAATAATTGGGTTTAGAAGACAATATCTTGAACAAATGATATTAATTATTTTGGCGTTATACTTATTTTTAAATTGTATATATTGTTCTGTGTGAAGCGATACATTTGTTTGAATATTTATTGTATTGCATACTATGTAAGTTCGACGATTACAAATTGAATACTTGTAAGTATTCATACTCATGAATCTAAGTTTACTATTCTTTTAATTTTTTTTAATACTCAATACATACTATAGAGGCTTGCTCGTTAAATAAATAAAATAAAATACAGTTCATGTATACTAATGTAACACTTTATAATAATAAACAAGGGTTTTTTTATTCTGTAATGTCCGCCGCGCGCAGTCCGTCTAAACTTACCTAACCACCCCACGCGTTATACCCTACGCCGCTATACCTCTTTTCGCCGTACCACTACTACCACTATTCTCCGTAACAACAGTACTCTCCTCCGAACCAAAAGTAAAAGTGAAAAATTTCGTCAACGCATTGACGGAAATAAAATATGTTCACTTCGAAAAATTAAAGGCAGGCATTGGTTTTATCTCCGAATAAAAAAAAAAGAAAAACAAAACTATTTTCTGGTTTAAATATTGAGTGAGCTGTTATTGTAACTATTTCACGAGCATGTTAAAATATGTATAAACTTAATTAGGTACCATAATATAAGTAGTTAATTTAAAAAAAAAAAGTTTTATGGACGAGTAACACTTGGTAGCTCCGTACAAATTACCATAAAAACGTTTACCCGTTGCCGTTCAAAATAAAATGAAAATATTTGTGTATCGGCTAATTCATTTAACTTAAACTTAGTTTAATCGTCATTTTTTATAATGAAATAAATGTAATTAATTAGATAGATCTCTCGCTACGCTCTCAATGTAAAATAACAATGAACAAATATATGGATACACAATGACTCGCATTTCAAATGAAAAATAAGTATCTAACGAATAATAATAAAATATGTGAAAATGCTTACTAATGAACGACTACTCGTTAACCACAATGGACGTAGCGTAGGCGGTGGTGTCAGCGTGGAAGCCACTGGGATAGGTCGCAAAGGTTGGAGGTATAATCAAACAATTACGAGTACCTATTATTATTTAAAATATCATAACTGTAATAATTTATATAATAACGAACAATTATAATACGGAAAACATATTGACCTTTATTTGATGACGAAAAATCGAAGAGTCGACGTGTCTGCAACAAGACTGTAACGACTGCGAATATGGGACTGCACTGTGCTGATAACGACTGTGATGGAGACGACACTGTCGCGTAGCAACAACGAAGTATTGACGTAGTGGGTCCTAATAGCGACAGCAGAGCGGACGGTGGATTCGGCAGATACAACGTTCGTACCCCACCACCGGGTTGTCGTCATTTTGCGACGCTGACAGTGGATGGAAGGGTCGTCGTATAGTAGGCCTCGGATAGGAGGGGCGTTTGTAGTAAAGATAGAGACACGGCGGTGGCAGCTAAGGGTACACCGACCGAATATTATCGAATATTTCGCCACGCTATTGAACAGACAAAAAAAAATAAAAATATCGAAACGACACGACGGCGGTTGTTAATGCATTTTGTCGACCTAAATTAATAATTTTGTAAGCCGTCCGTTCGACATCCGTCACTGAAATAAAACAAATACACACACACTATTCATATTATCTTTATTCAAAACCTCAATACGGATTTGTTTCGATTGAAATAACGATATTTGATATTTGAATAATATTTGTCTCATCAAAAAAAAAGTGCATATTATAATTAATCGAGGAAAAAAATCCTAAAAGCCTAAAAAGATATTTGAACATACTGACAGTGGTGTACTCCATTTTTTTCCACAGTGAAGAAATATCACTAAATGTATACAATTAACAATGATATTATATTATTGGTTCTACCACTGACTCGTATGAGTAGGATTAATTGATATAGTCGTGAACACCAGACGACCTGTGATTATGGAGTGTGTTTGTAGGGCACAGCTACGCTGCTGCCGCTGTTTAATCGTCATTCGGTCATCCGACAATACCTCGGCATGGTTACATTTCAAATTAAAACCGGATTCCCGTGCAATTGCTTTTTTTTTTATAGCGTGTTTGCTTTTGTTTGATGGATCTCAATTTTGGATTATGATTCTTTATTGGAATATGAGTATATGTTAGAAATAGAAAATAATTATTTTATTGTAAATTGAAAATAAACCAAAATTGATTGCATTTTTTAAAGATTTTTAAAAATATACTTAAAGTATTTTGATTTCTACTTAAGGTAAAGTGAATTAAAATTATAACAATAATTTTACCCATTGTTAACGAAAAAACTATTCTGAGTGAAGTTCAGTTGATGAGATGCTTTGTTAACAATCTATATATAATGTTATATTATGGATTTGCTTGGATATACACATTTGCTGAAAAATCTTTTGGGAAAATCGAAAAAGTACCTTCCTAGTGAAATTTCCTTTTAGAAACAATGCTATCATTATAATTTGGAGAAAAATTGCTGGTAGCAAAGTTGATCAAAATAAAAAGAAGCTTATAATACATTTTAACTTATACGTATATGTCTTATACTTTCCTGTATTTTTTTCGGTTTTTCAAATTTGACGAGAAAACTTTTGAGAAAAAAAATAAATGTCTTTGTAAAACCTTAAGCCTCTTCTCTCCACTTAGAATTTAAAACTAATAATTTGGTATTACAATAAGAGGTTTACTACACGTTACTGTCGACTAATAAAGTATAAATTCCAAAAAGAAACAGTGGAGATTACGTTACATAAGGTTAAAGCGATTATAGATCAAATAAAATAAAATTCCCTAGAAAAACGGAAACTTATTTATTGACAAAAATCCCGAGAAATTCGAAAAATTATCTCTCTAAAGTACCTTCCCAAACAGATTGCCTTTCAGAAGACGTGCCAAAAAGTATTCAAAAAATGTCAAGAAAATAAAAATGTAAGATTTCTGTTGAAATTTCAAGTCTCTATGAATTTTTTTTACTGAATTACAACAAATAAGAATATTAAATAATAATAAAACCATTATTTTCGTAAATTTCCTTGTATTCTGAACAAAGCCAACTTCTATACCATAATATTATTATGTATAAATGAAACAGTGTTCACTACTAATATTATAATTCAATAAAAGTAATCTGGCAACTATCTTATCGACTAACGTCAACTTATTATATGCGAATACGTAAATATTGTATAAATATTATTTTAAATCAGCTGTTCGGTATATTATTTATTATTAGATAACTGATATTACAAATTTTCAATTACTATGTTTATTGCCGTGGTACAGAGAAATGAAATAAGATAAAGAAGAATGTATTATAATATTATGAGTCATTCAAAAAAATCGAAAATTAGTTTCATATCACTAATGAAGATTATAAACATAATCTGTGGCCATTGCACGAATTACACGAAAGATAATAGTAGTCGTTTTATTTGTTTCATTTAGAATAATCGTTTTTCTATACCAACTAGCTATTTCTACAGTTATCAATATTCGATTCTTTTCTCTTTTTCCATCTGATATTAATTTTAATTTCTATCAATGTACTTTGTTTTAAATTGAATGGCATAAAAATAAAATAAAAACCGAGTGAATCGAAAATCTTTAAAAATGCCGCATAATTACGTCATCGCTCGACCTGCGTTTCCAGACCAATGTTGCCTATGTGCTGTTGGTCTTACTATTTTTGTGAGAAATAATCTCAGATGTTCAACCTGTGTTAATACATATACATCATTTTATTATATCATAATCATTATTTCATTCGTTATAGTTTAACAAATAGTTTTGCTCTTTCTGACTTATTAAGGTATTTATTATACATTTTTGAATATATTTTTTCATCATTTGTGTGGACATGATAAAAATACAAATCGAATAGATTGAAAATCATGAAAATCAACGTTCGACCCACGTTAGTTTTACTATTAGTGAATTTTTTCCATTATCAAACTTAAATTAAAAAACATTTTTCAACCGTGGACGTCGGTTTTTTATTTTTAACAATTTTTGTAACGAGGTATTAAAATATCGAAAAAAACCTACGAGATTGCGTTTTTTCTTTATTTCTGATAACAGGTCAATTCCGAATGACCAAATATTGGGTGAATACCATTTGTCCACCCTCAACTATTACTTAATTATCGTGAATAAAACAAAATGTTTCACAATAAATGTTATTCATAACACTACCATAATATTAAATTACCGAAAAAAAAAAATCGTAAACATTTTTATTAATACTAAAAAGAAATTTAGTAAGAATTACCTATAACCCAGTCTCCCGTTCAATGTAACTAACCCGAAATATTAATCATATAATTTTTGTTGAAATCAGAACTAAATAAATTAAAACAAAATAATATAGAACTGTTTATTAATTTGATAAACTAATTTAATTAATTAACATTTAACACCTATGTACACTCAGTTAAAAAAAATGCTAATTTTTAAATTAGGAAAATAAAATGTTGAATTACAAAGTGAATTAATAAATAAATCGAACACAAGTGATTATAGCTGCTAAAAGTCGATTCTTGTTATTCGAGAGAGATCCTCAAAAGAAGTTGGTGGTGCGTAGTTGTTGCTGTGTACAGGATTCTCGACCGAGTGTTCGTCTTGGGATTTCTCGAGGGATCAAGACGCTTCATTTTCAATTGTAAAAACCGTTCAAGTTTATGTGTTTAAATGTTCTAAATGAAGCTAATTGTTTGGATATTGATTCTTCTCGAATGATAAAAAATCACTGGAATTTGTATGCTTAAAAAGACGGAATAGATGGCAATCGAGTCAATGTCGATATAAAATAATTAATAATCGAATTGTGAAAATAAGACAATATACAGTAGTATGACTGAGGTGGCAGTGTCCTCATATATTTAAATTATTTTGCTTGTAGATAAGCTTGAATCCCTCCCGAATAGCGAACGATCCGTTAGATTTATTAAATTATTTACCTTTTGTAAAATACCAATTACTCGGCCATATTTGAATCTCTTAGTTACATTTTTGTAATGATATAAATAGAAATAATTATACAGTTATAATATTATGTTATGTTAGCATAACATTACATCCACCCCAGTCTTTTTTTGGTTGTGTCCTCACAACCCAGACCAGTGGTCAAAGTGAAGGAGGACAAATAAATCACGAAGAGTAAATAAATTGAGACAATTATACTATATAAAAGTTAAAGTTGAAAGTTTATAAAGATGGTAAGTTGTATTCGAAAGTTGCACTTTGAAAAAAGTTTAACTTTCGTTAAGTTCAATCTTCGGTGTTTGTTATTCCTGGAATATAAGTGAATGTTGCTTTACATTAAATTTTGATTTGGTTATTATATAAAATTTAATTTGATTCTGAACTTTTAAAATCTAAACGATTCATGGCTCTCATTTCTTGTGTTACATTTGTGTTCTTATTCTGTCTTGATTCTCATAATGTGATTTCATTTTTTTTTTTTTTTTACATCTTTTACATCGATCTTAACATGTCTATTATTATATAAATAACAAATAACAGTGGAAATTGGCGTACTTGGTTGTATTACATAATAGTTATTAGTTAAATATGTTTTACGTTAGTAAATATTATTTTTTACAAATTTAATAAAATCGAAATAAGCATATATATACATTTTTTTTTACATAAAGTAATTGCGATTTTTTGTAATTGTTGTCCTTTATTGTTGATATTGGCATGCCTTCCTCGTGTGCCACATTGTACCAATATGTCCTAATTGGTTTGTGATTTGGGGCTGATTTGAATTACGTCTTTGTACGTTTTGTTGGTGGCATAGAATAGAATTTCATCTATGATTCTTGTTTTGTCAGTTTGCGCTGTGACATCGTTCAGTCCGCACGTATTTTCTATCGCTCTCCGCTTTATCAGCTCCCGATGGCATAGTCGTTCGTGCTCGCCGTGGCGTACACACGTTGCGGTTTTTAATTGATAATGTATATTTCTATTATTATAAACCCCAAAGCCACTACCTATTCATCTTATCTACATCATTATGAGTTCTAATCGCTTGCCGACCGGCTCTCATAATTACACCGACAAAAATATAACTACAAAGCAAAAACAACAACTCTCTCCGTTACTCGTATCAAAAACCTTAATTAATCAAACGGGCTCTAACCAATCGTTGAATTTCTCCGATAACGAAAACGATTGGATTACAGTAACTCACGACTAGGGTAAACGCCAAAGATCTCCCATTACTCCCACTTCACCACATCCTAAAAAAGACACTAGTATTTTCATCTCTCCAAATCGCTTCTTTCCATTAGCCCTTCTCAATGAAGACACCCAAATGCTCACCGACAATGCTGAGCAGTCACAGGAAGCCAACCAGCCCAAATCCGTCAACCCGCCACCAATATTCATAGAAACTACATTAAACTTTAACAATTTTACCGCCAAAATTAAACAACTTAGGCAACCTGCTGGTTTTTTATGCAAAACCTCCACCAAAGGGATTAAACTACAAACTTTTAATTCTGACTCATACAGATCTGTTGTCAAATTTCTGAAGGAAAGCAAAGTTGCCTTTCACTCATACCAGAATAAAGAATCTAAACCATACAGAATTGTGATAAAAAATCTCCACCCTTCTACGGACATATCATTCATAAAATATGAACTAACCTCACTGGGCTTCCAACCCAGAAATATAATGAATGTACTTCACTTACAATCCAAGTCACCTCTCCCTATGTTCTTCATCGACTTAGAACT